AGATGAAAGAGTTCAACTAGAACTAGAGACAAGCATCTCAAAGCCTCATATCTATGAATCTAATAACCGACTACTGTGATATAATCCTTTATTGAATATAATCAATCGTGTCATCTTAAGCAAATTATCAAAATCTGTGCCACAAATGTGTTTTACTTGTTCTTACGTTCAATTTATTTTACACTAAAGTGATGCTGCTGTGCTGAGTTCTTTATTTTCTTTCCTAAGTGCAGAAAATATTTGAAACATTAAGACACTACAGATTTTTCATGCAGCACTACAGCTGCCAATAACGAGCACTTCACTGGAGCAAGAAGCACTGAATATGTCATTATTTACCATTTATGAGGTCAAATTAAGCAATGGCTGCAGTTCAGTTTCCCCAACCTGTAATACACACCTGTGGTATTTGAGTTTCTAACAGAGCTCTCGTTCTGTGCAGCTGTGCCACTCTTACTTTTCTATTTAATGTGCACTACAGCTCTTTAGCGATGCAGGAAATGCACCAAGTATGTAAGGAGATATCAGAGGGTTTATTTGGTGGGAGGTTTTTAACATCTGTTGAGCCGTCATTTTCTTTAAGGCCGTCCTGAGCAACTATCTATCATTTTTAGCGTTTTGTGTCCTTTCCTGTCTGAACAACAGTGCCTGAATGTCCCGTTTTTTTGTATTTTTATTAAGGGGTTTGTTTTAATGCAGTCTTCATGTTTTGAACAATTTCTCTTATTTTTCTAGAAAACTGGTGATGCCAAGAGTATCAGATGGTTGGTGGGTTTACTGCATTAGAACACAACGTCAGTTGTCACAGTGTTTGTTGGGAAAGTTATCCAGTAACACCTCAGTTAAAATTATTTTTTTAGTATATATATATATATAGCCATACTTTTCTCCTACTTTTTAAACACACAGACTCTGTTACAGACTGGTTTATGGTTCTGTTGCAGTGTGCCGCCATCTTGTTACAACACTATATGCTACGTAAATATAGTTAAAATTCTGTTGATATTTTGGGAGATCATGTGGCCCTCTTTTTGGTATGCCCTGTATGTGAACATGTTGCCTTTTTAGTTCTGCAAATTTGATGCCTGATTGTATATGCACCATAAATAAACAATCAATAATACTGACTTGGCATATTGAATTATTTAACAGCATTAAGAATGGATCGGTGTGTTTGTGATTAAGAAAAAGTCTATTTTCTTATGTTAAAAAGCTCCTGCCACTATGAAAGTGTGCATGTAACTGAGTTATTCGCACATACAGGTGACCAGACTTCCCTTTATTTGTGGGACGCATCATGTTTTTGTTAAAGCTCATCTGTTATCCTACATTTTGATTTGATCTAACAGTCTCTTTTCTGAGTTAACACTGCTGTGAAAAAAGCAGGTATGACTGACACGATCGGGTTAATCTGTCGCCCTCTACAGCCAAAGGGAGAACATTACAGGTCACCGCAGTGTCACAGGTTTTGCAGTTTACAGCAGAACATGATGGAAACTGTCAGTGCGCCCCAGGGCGGCTGTGGCTACACTGTAGCTTGCCATCACCAGTGTGTGAATGGGTGGATGATTGTGTATAGTGTAAAGCGCTTTGGGCTCCTTAGGACCAAGTAAAGCGCTATACAAATACAGACCATTTACCAAACGCCATAATAAAAGACAAAGCTACAATAAGACTAGAAACCTACTTATAACTGAATTAACCTATTTTCTGATATTCGTGGATGGAACAGCAGATTTGCTGTATAAGATGCTCCTCTTTGTGCTGATTATATTTACTGGTACTTGGAAGGTTGGCAAAGTTAGTCTTTTTGAGTCTCTGTTGGATGTAGGAGGACTTAGCTGGCCTGCACAGAGCCCTGACCTTTTACCCAGTACTAGTCATCAGTACCGGATGTGATTTACTTTCTACAACAAGGTTCTGCAATCTGATGGAAAGCACTTCCAAAGTAGAAAAGGTTTGGAATTTATTTCAAGAATTTTTTTTCAGCAGATTTGGGACAATTTTAGTTATTTATTTATTTCTTTTACTCTTTTGTAGTCTAAAAATGCTGAACGAGCCAAAGAACTGGTTTAGATGTGTAATAAATGTGGCATTTAAAATGTATAAACTAAGAAAATGTGTTGTGGGAACACAAATGTAATAAATTGAATGCCATAAAAAGAATGTTTTTGGTCCCAAAAATTAGATTTTAGATATATTGTTAAAGATATACAAAGATGTAACTCATTGCTCAGTTACATTAAGGTGTGTAGTGCACAAAACTAAATAAAAAAGATCAAAACTGAAAATAAAACGCTCTTTAGTAATGTATCTGTGACATGAATTATTGTTTTGTTCCAGTTTCTTTTCTTTTTTTCATTTTAGTGAATATTTTACTCTTTAATAATGCTGACATTTTTTAAAAAATGTATTTAACATTTTTTGAGTTTTTGTTACTTTGTCCAAATACATAAAGTCAAAACCATCCATCAATCATCACCATCTCCTTACAAAACGTGTAAATTTCCCCGAAAACAAGTTATACCTCGTTTAATTTTAGCTATGAATAAGAACTTTGTTATTACGAGTTCATCTGTGCAGCAAGCGTAAGCTGAAGTGCAATTTACTCATTTGTACGCAAGAGGGCGTTAGTACTTCACTTGTGTCACCATTACACCTGTTTTCTCGGCGCTCCTTCAGGGTCCACGGAGTCATATCTGTGTATCAAAGCTGTCAGCCTAATAAAAGCTGTTTCCATTTTTAGAGGCCAAATAACTCTGCTGGAAAACCCGAAATTAATTTACAAACGAGTGAAAAAAAAATCGCTTCAGGTGAGGTAAGCAGGGCGCATCGCCGAGCTTAAGTCCCTCTGGTATGGCCCTCATGCATTATTATCCAGATGAACAGGTTTGACTCACAGCTCAGTGTTGGGGGATCAAAACAGGAAAATGCGCATTACGGGCATTTGCAGTGCGGATTACTGAGACACAAAGAGTTTGAGGCGCTTACCTGCGCTGCAGATTAATGAGTGCTTGTGAACCACCGACGCACATCCTCCGTCATGTTATGGAGCTTTTCCTTCTCCCCTCTTCGTGACACGAGGTCCTTTCGAAGAATCTAAAGAAAATTTGTATTATTTGAAAACTGTAAGAGCTCTCCGTCACATAGCGAGTATGAATCCGTACATATGATGTTTTAGCCTCGGCGCTCAGGGCGCGTCGTGTGCGCACTGAAAAGGCGGGGGTGTGAGGTTTAATTTAATCTCAGCCTCATGAGAATGATGAAAAATGACAACATATGGTCTTTAGTTTATAAGAGATGTTTCACGGATGTATATAAATTTATGGCAAATCTGAACAGAAAATGATGACATAGTGATGCGCAGTAGTTCTAAAAATATACAGTGGGTAGTTGTCAGATTCCCCTCGCTGATTATTTAAAATATCCTTTACCGTGATGACATTTTCACAGCAGTATCAAAGCTCTTAAAGGCTCTGAGCATTGGGGTTTCTAAACCTGCAGAAGGTCAAATAAATGCGTTAATGATCCGAAAACGCGGTTGAGGTGAAAAGGAAAATCAGTGCATCGTATTCAGACGTTAAAGAGACAAAAGACAACCGTTTTTCGATCGTCTTACCTCAACTTCTGGATCATTTTCACAGCGGCTGAGGCATAAAATGGTGAAATATCTGCGACAAGTGTGCACGAACGCTGCCCCAGAACAAGAAGAAGAAGAAGAAACGACCACTAGAAAAGCAGTTTGATTAATTTCCATTCTGTTGAAGAAGTTAAACCTTCCAGTCATTGTGACCTGACTGAAAAGAAAATGGACCCACCACACATTTCACCCTGCGCAGTTTTGCGCTTTCCTCCTCCTCCTCTCTCTCTTTCCATCTATCTCTCCTTCTCGCGCGCTCTCTCCCCCTTTGCAGGCATTCAATGCGCATCTCCGCTCTCAGTCCGGTTTTGGACCCTTCTCAGCAGTGCATGAGAGAACCGTGGGAATTTTCTCAAACTTGAAGGGGGGAAACGTGTCTGCAGCTGTTGGAGCTTATCAGCCGCGAAGGAGCAGTAGAAGCATTTCATTCAGGTACAGAAAAAACACTGTTACTATAAGAATGTCATGAATGTTTATCTTCCTCCCTCATCAGAAGGGTTAACATGCTCCAAGGTGTGTCCGATCCTCTGAGGGGATTTGCGCGTAAAAAGATCCACGTTGCGCATTTCTTTTGAGCGCGCATGGCAGATAGAAATGGTTCAGTTCGGGCACATGGAATTCCCATCCTTAGAATATTTACTTAAACCTTGTTGTTCATAGTTGATATCTTATTGCGCTCATGTTTGTCTTTATTAATACAACAAATTACGAGGCCTTTTAAAATGTAAACAAAATGAATGATGATTTGTCGCAGGTTGTCGGTGACGCAGATTCGAGTTCAGACACAAATATCGTCTGAACTGGGATTGCACAGTAATTTATACATGTCAGACTGAAAGATGAAAGCGGGTTTTTAAACATCTGCGAATCGAAAATGAGTCAGAGCCAAGGGCATCTTCTCATCCAGGCCCCCATTTTGTTCACATGACATCATCATCTACATCCTTTTGGATGCGTAAAAAAATGAAATGTAATCCAAGGACATAATGGTGCCCATCAGAGCAGGATTAAGACGCAATGTGACCAAAAAAACAAAACAAAACACCAAATCATGCTCTAAAAATACTGAATTTCGTCTTGAACTCAGATTTCTCTCCTCCACTTGTGAAAGAAAGAGTCTTTGACATAAGATTAAATAATAATAATAATTCAGTGACATATTGTTAAAATAACAAGCATTCAGCAATGTCATTTGACTTGTTTCTCAGAAAATGTGTATTTATAGCATCAAATTGATATTTTCTACTATTTACAAAATAAATATAGAGAGTTGGCTTTAATATATTTAGAAAAAAGGTCCTTACCAGTATGAAGCAACACAGTATTAAACTGTAGAGAATTACTGCTCTTAAATTCAGTGTACACACTACAATTACTAATCAGGTAAAGTTAAAGCTTTTATTTGAAAGCAACACCAGTGTCCTTCATTTTCACACACATGTAGTTCAGTTGAGCTTTGTTCCTTCAGCATCTGTTGTCTTAATATTAAATGCAGATACAGAAGCGACTTTCAAAGTAAGGACCAGGGACCCCCAGGGGTCTGCAACAAATTGCTAACAAATCTGGAAATTGATTTTCTATAAGTAATATGCCAACAAAACAAACTTAATGTGTCAAATAGTGTGTTCCGACCAACACAAAGCTTCACTTTGCATTGGACCATTTTGCGCTCCATAATTATTCTCATCTAACAGCCAGTGGGGGAACCATCGCCTTTAAAAGTACAGCCAACAGCTGGAACAGTAACATTTCCAGAAGTTAGAAATGTTCTGTACTCTTCTGCAAGCTACCTCACTTTTCTGCTCTCTTTACAAAAAGGGAAGTTGGATCATATTTCTATTTTTAATTCTTGGTAAATCCAGGTTATGAAAAAATTGCAGCTGACACGAGGTCAAAACAGTCTGAAGAGAATTATTTGCTGAAGCGGGATTTTTTTCATCTAAGCAAGCCGTTCAACAACTTTTGGTCTGAACAGTTAAATTTATTTTTATTTATATAGTGCCATATCACAACATATGTAAACATGTGAGCAGAGTGCAAAATGTAGAATCCCACGCGTGCTTGGATTTTTCCATCCTTTCTCCCTTGGCCCTTTCTCTCTTCCAAAGGACTCATTGCACAACAAAAGGAACTTTTCATTCACAGTGTGGGAATTTTTCAGAAAACTAACAAAAAAAACTGGAAAAGTATTTTCATGGTGCAGAGATTTATATTCAGAGCATACTCCATCTAATCTTTGACTACTGCACTACCAGTTAAATAATCTGAGAGACACTTTACGGTTTCATGGTAAAGTCTGAGAAATGACCACTTTCTCCTCAACCTAATTAAGATCATAGATGGAAAGATATTATGAGCTAATTTTTTGTATGATTATGATAACAGCATAAAAAATCACCGCTTAATTTCTAAGTTTCTATCTATGTTTGACATATTTTGCTTCTCTGTATCCCAGAACATGACTAATCCACTGGAGAAGGTTGTGGCCCAGAAGAAGGAGGCCATTGAGGCAGTGATGGATATGTTTCAGAGGGGGGCCGAGGTGCTGGCCAGTGCTGTGGGTGAGCTCTTTCCTCTTTGCGAGGCTGCTGCTCCTGTCCTGCGTCTGGCCTTAGATAATGTTCAGAGCAAAGAGGTCTTCTATGTCAAAGAACAGTTCCTGACAGTAAAGAACAAACTCGATGTGCTATCGAGTCAGCTGGAAGACATAGACTGTGAGCTCAAGAAGGGAAGACTGGACTCCCAGTACTTCTCTGTTGAGGAGAACATTCGGAACCAGTTTAGGAAGTATATGGATATACTGGAAGCAAAAGAGCAGTTTAGGGAGGTGAAAAAGAGGCTTTTTTTGGAGCACTTTGCCAAAACTGGAGGAGAGAAGAACCTGCTTGTGCTCTGTGATGCTCTCATGGGGACTAACTGCTTTGGAGAGCCCATTTTAGATGTGGTAGAAAGGTAAATTGTTCTATTTTGTCACATTTATGCTTCTGGATTTACAAATCACCACTGCACATTTCTGTGGATGGGATGTCAGATGAAAGTATGATGAAACTGCTCTTCTGTGTTGTAGGTATGTGGCACGGAACCGCCGCCTTCTGGAAGATTTCTGTGTTCGGATGAAGGAGCTTCTCTGCTTGGGTCTGATTGCTCTTCTGGGTCACTGTGCCTTAACACAGGGCCAAGAAGAAGAGCAGGAAAAAATCCAAGAGTGGAGCAGCAAAATTGAAGAAGTTGAATCCAGGATGAAGTCAGCCATTGAGTCTTGCATTGCTGCTTTCCCAGAACAAGCAAAATTAGACACCGAACGCCTCCTGAAGGAAAACCATGAAGAGAATCTTCAGGATTCAACTCAGCAGCTTTTAGAGTTCTTGGTGAAAAAGTACGACTGGGTCAGCTGGTCAGTGCGGCTGATCAACCATTCAAGCAGCACCTATCGAAACTGGCGAGCAGGGGAGCATTTTCACCATGTGGCAGGGCAGAACTGGTTCGAGGTGCTCCAGGTGAACAACATCAACCTGGTGGTGTCCTACAGCACCAAACCGCAGCCTGTGCCCCACGACTGTATCAGGCAGGTGATGGAGGGTCAGGGGAAGAAGGGAAATGCCCCAGCTGTGGTGGAGGTGTTGGAGAAGCAGCTGTGCGGGTTTGTTGTTCATGCAGTCAGTCGTCACAAGGAGTCCGCGGCTGCGTGGAGCTTTCCGGAAGACTGTCATTACTGGGAGAGGCACAAGAATGTGGCTGTGTGTGTGCACTCAGAGTAAAGCTGCTAGATAATCCAGGTTTTAAGATTTTAAGGCAGAAAGGTTTATCCGAATGAAGACACTTAACATTTTTGTTGCTGAAAGAAAAATTGATGATACACTGCATTGATCATCAGATAATTTATATTAACACCAATCACACAAACGAAGCATTTTCAGGTATTAAGCCCAGACCTAATGCATTAGTCGGACTGAATCAAACTGACACTGTTGCACTTATTTTTAACATTCATTTTGTGAATGGAAGGTTTAATAAATGTGAAAGATTTCAGAATGCAGCTTATGTTTTAAAATCTTCCTTTTTAGTCTAGAGGTGTTTTTTTCTGAATGAGTTATGCCATAGTTTTACAGTAAAACCCTTTTGAGATCAGAATTGATTTGACACTCCTACATGAGAGCTACACATGACTGGATCAGTGCTCTGCGTACGCCATCACCCAAACCGACACGTTAGAATCAATACTGGAAAACATCCGATCAATGCAGCTCGTTCAGAAAACTTGGTTTCACGTTTTAATGTTTTGTTAAAATAATATAACCACAAATGCACTTGCAGAGCTGCGCGAGCTCTTAGATACTCTCGGATATTTTCTACATAAACGTAGTTATAGCTCTTCAAAATCACTTGCATATTACAAACTGTATTGCTACATGTCTATCCATAATGCTAACATTTTACTTCAAAAGCATTTTACCTCAGCTGCATGCAGTAATAACACCGTCTCCCTTGAGAAACGGCTTCTCTACCTACTTACAGCTTTCAGGAGATGGTTTTGCTGAGGCTGCATCTACAGCTCTCTGCTCCCTTTTTGTCCGTGCTCAGCAGGCTGGCCTACATGACCCTGACAGGGAGCGGGGAGGTTACTTTTTCAGGCGTGAAAAACAAGAGGCTTGGAGGTTGGAAACACGACAATGTGCCTTGTGTTCTAAACACAGTGAAAGCCCTCGATGCCGAACCAGACCCGCACTGCTGACCAGTGCTCTGCCTAAAAAAAATAACACGAGTTAACTGCTTCACATAGATCTTTATGTTTTATGTATCATTTCACCTATCTCAATGCAATTTACTTCATCTGTTAGGTATTCTTCCTGACATTAAATATTCAGTTGTTTTGTCTAAAATTTAAAAATCAACCAAAGATTTTCCCAGGAAATTTTTATGAACTCAGTTTTTTATTAAATCCACAGCATTTAGATAAAAACTATTGCTTGCTTAAACCACATCTGCTTTGTTACTCATACCAAAACATCTTAACAAAATTAGTGGATAATGAATGGCTAGCATGTCTTTTTATGCTTTATGATAATTAATGAGTAAAAACAAAAAGCAAATGGATGTGTAAACACGTGTAATCTAATATCTGTCTCCTTTTTCTTGTATAAATGTGATTTATGTAGCACTGTCAGTGCCTGTGCCCATTAAACCGAAGCAGTGCACCCTCAGCAACACAGACTCTGGCTAATTTAATTGATATTTACACATAAGTCAGCATTTCCTGACTGCAGCTCTGCTTTGATAGTCCATGAATAACCTTTGGCTGAGCTAATATCCTGCAGACGAGCAGCAAAGTGCTTGACTTAGCAGGATGGTATCAGTCATAATGCTCAGAGTAGATGCAGCGCGGGTGGAGATGCCCTTCATGTCATATCTCAGTGGATCTGCAGGGTCTTTAGCTGCTCGGCTTGTGTGTCGTAAATCAAGCCTGTCAGAATCCATCAAGCGCTGTTCCTAAGACCCAGTGCAGTGCAGCAGGAAGTAGACTGTGTTCAAAGGAAAACAATTGATAATTCAGCTGATCAAATTGATGTATATAAAAAAAGCTAATTAAAAAATTACGCATAGAAAAGCCTAATTAAAACTATTTCAGAGACTGTTAAGGTGCAGACTGTGGGGGAGGAAACATCAGACAAGATCAGAACTAACATAAAATCAAAAATAAGTCAAGTTTCTCCCCTCAACAAAAAAAATAAAATAAAATAAAAAAATCCAGAAGAAAAGTAAAGTAGAGACAGACGAGGACTCCAACGAGACCTATGTAAGAGGATTCAATTCTGTGATGAGTGTTTTTCCCAACATCAGGGCTTCATGAAGTCAACATGAAGAAACTTATTCATTTATTAAGTTGAATTGTATAGAAATTGATAATTAATTGATCATAGTGTGCAATGTGTGTTGCACTTCAGATTTACTATTTTTTTTGTTATTCTAATAACAACAGCCACATTCCTTATTTTGTTCATATGTCTAAGACCGGTAGATGAGGTCTATGCTGTGATCCTTTTCCACTGGTGGAAATCCTGATTGGATGCAAGAGTAAAAGAGCTTGACCAGTCTTCTCCAAAGCTTTGAACATTTCTCAAATTAATTAGTAAACCAGCACTTTATTTGTCCTAAGACAAAAAAGTAATCTGACACATAATCTATCATTACATTTCTAATTGGCATTTTAGGAAAGAAGATTAAGAGGTTTTAATAAGCAGTTTATTAAAGTTGAACAGTTTCCCTCAGTTTCCCCCTGTTTGGACCCTGGATGCTACCCTAAAGAAAACCGTCTCGAGACTGTAGCTTCATATTTACCCTGCAGCAGTGGTATGTGTATTTCTGAACACTGGAAAGTGCCGCACTAGCATTTAGTCTTTAACCTCCTAGAATCTGGCCTCCACATATGGGGACATCACATTTTGGATTGTCTCGACCATAATACCAAATCTTTCTCTTTAAAATGAGCCATATTGCTGAAAGGGGCACAATTGTTGTTTCTCATTTTGTTTTTGTACTCAGGAAAAGTGCTGCTGCGTTCACACACCAAATAAAGAGTTTTGCACATCTTTACTCAATTGTGCCAAATAGCAAAGAGAAATTAAAAATGAATGCCATTAAAGAGTTCAGGTCTCAAGGGGTTAAGCTCAGATGTTAAGCTTGGAAGTGGTATTGACTTAATTTTTAGACTTTAAGTAAAACAAACAAACAGAAAAAACAGGTTTTAGATTGGGATTGTTTCTTGTTGGGCACATCTTGTACCTGTCACTGGTCTAAGATCTGCAGTCGTCATTTAATATGGATGAGAACTCAACTATAAATAGCCTTAAACCACAAACGTCTTCACTCTAAATCAAAATGCTGGAGAACAAAAACAAAACAAAGGAAAACATATCACAGACTTCCCCGTGATGCTAAACACTCCACCTGCTACCTCGCTGGCACAAAGCCTTTTTTGTCATTACAAATCCCAGACAGGTGACTAACTGTTTTACCACCTTTGATCTGGCGCTGAAAAAACTGAAAATGTGGAGCAGACGGGCGGATGGGTGTGCCAGACAACAGTGCAGCCCTCAAACACTCACAGACACAGAACCAGTCTCTGTGTGCAGACCACTGAAACGACAACACACAATAAAACAAACAACAAGCTTGCTAATGTTACACCTGTGTCTGCTGACGGTTAGGGGGTTAGGGTTAGACCGGTTTGTCTGTTGTTATTGTGCTCAATTTAAATTTAAAATAATCCAGTCATGTTATATTCCCTTTTTTGTTGTTTTCCTCTATGGTGGCTGGATTTGGATGTTAAAATTAACATGACCACCAGCAGTATTTAACATTTCCTTGGTTTTCTCCCCTGTGGAGAAATGGAAAGCAGATGCAGCCGGCACTGTAAGGCAGTGGATTCATTAGTGGTTGTGTGGGCTTTGCCTGGGTAACAACTATTGATCCAAGAGGCTCTTCTCCTGCATAAAAGGCTCTTGCTGTGGTAAACAGTCAATCCTGGCTGTCATTATGTGGAAGACGGAAAGCATCTGTTTACTGACCAGCTGGCATCTTGCAGCAGTCCGACTTGTAGTATTTTGTGGTTGAAAGGAGGTTAACGCAAGATTTTAAGAATGAAAGAGTGAAACATGGCGGGGAAATGGTGGTACTAGCGGTGGTTTGCAGACAGAGGGCGCTATCAACAAACAGATCTGAGGGTAACTCTGTTCCAAAAGCAGTCTGTTGCTGATTTCAAATAAATTGACCCATTTGTCGTTGTCCATTTACAGTTCAAAGCTTTTTCTGTTTCAGTATCTGGTGAACATTTCATTTCTCTCACCATTTTAAACTGACTTTTACAATTTGAAAGTCGTCATGGATGATGACCCAAAGCCCAGCCTTAACGCCATGCTTTGGAAGCATGTACTAAATTATGCAAGTCAGTTACAATGGTTGCCCAGACTTTAGACCCCCCCCCCTTTTTTTTCTAAGAAAAACAACCAAACTACATGTTCAGTTAGCATATCACAGATGATGACTTATAGCAGGGCTCACAGGGTTAAGAGGAAATATTTGCAGACATTTCCCTTTTCTCTGCTGCTCCTACAGGCTGTGACTCATAAAGGGACTTTTAACAGCGGAAAGATGACTTTATAAAACAAAAAACCTTCATGGCGAAATTCCGGAAATAATAATTCTAGAAACTTGAAAATAAGTTTACAAACCTCCCTAAACAAAAACTCTTCCCAGCATCCTCTAACACAGTCCTTTCCATCAGGCTGACTTTCCTCATCTCCAAGAGGAGATACCAGCCAATATCAATATTTCATAAACAAATGAAAGACTGGATGGAGGCTAACATCAGGCTGTCCCTGGAGGAGACAGTCAATCGATGGATGGTAGGATAGCGCTGTGAGGCGGTGTCTGCCAATCCTGTCCACGCAGGATAATGGTATTACCCATCAGTCCGAGTGGCCCATCGACCAGCCTGCTGCTCTCTGAGTGGACTAATTCAATAAAAAGCATTAAAACATTTGTTCAGTGGCACACCGACTGCAGGTCCGAACCCAGATCCAAGAACGGAGTTTTTTTTAATGGTGCTGCCAGGTTTGAGTTTCTGGCTATTAATGTTTTATCCATACTGACTGCAAAATGAAGGATCTGAATTCTGACCAGTAGGGGGCAGTGACTCTGGATGCAGTAAAAGTCTGGGTCTATAAAAGTCTGAGAAAACGATCCTACTTCTCTCTTCATTTTTGACTTCAGGACACATTTTTCTTATTTGTTTATGATCTCTGTGCTTTAGTTTAAAGTGTTCTTACTACCGTACGATATAACTTAGAAAATTATGGGCAGTGGTTGAGTGAAACTCATGAAAAAGCATGGGTACCTTCTGACTGTGACTAAGGTTGCATCGCTTGCTGTCTTCTGTCAGTTATCCAACTTGGCCATGGAAAAAAAAAAAAGCTGAAGTCTAGGCTTCCACAAACTATTAGGACTCAAAACACGGGAAGTTAAATGAACACAGCGGCTTTATTGCTGGAAAAACCTCCATAAAATAAACCCATAAAAAACAAACCAAAACCCTAAACATGAGAATTACAAACTGAAACAATGGGAAACTAGAACTTAAACTAGACCACAAGAAAACAAACCTAGAACTGAGAACTAGGCATTTAGACAGGAACACAAGACAAGGAACTTTCAAAATAAAACAGGATACCGGCATGGAGACACGGACTTGACAAGGAGCGACAACTGACCGGAGAGACAGGAGATGAATGAACACAGAAACACGGGTGACTCAACAAGACACGAGGAACGCAGGAAAGGCCCAGAGAGGGAGACAGAGACTAAACAGGCTGAGATAAACACTAAGAGAGGGAGAACGAAGATCACTGAGACTAAAGAAAACCAAACCATGAACAACAATAATCAAAGAATATAATTCCAAAGTCGGAAACAGAAATACTGGGTCGCAGGCCCAGTACCATGAAAGCTAGTCAGTTTTATATAAAGAGTAAAGAGGGTCTGTCAGAAAAAGGCGTTCCAACAGATGTGATGAGTTAGTCAATAAATGCATAACTCCTAATTTTTGTTCTATTAACCTCTGTGTAGTGATACCAAATATCACGAGCAACATGGGCTATTCTATGAGTCTCAGTGGATCTCAAGGTATAGGATTCAACATAGAGGCCACATAAAGGTGGCATTTGACACATGCACAAAGGTACATCTAACCATGTAGGAATGCCATCCCACTTCTGTTACTTCAGGTAATATGCAGCTGCTAGCCACAGTTAGCCACATATTAGAAATGAACAGCTGTGAAGCTAGGACTCAAATACAGAATGGGTCATTTAGCAAAAGTTTATTTTCTCTCAAGCAGGAGGTATCTATCTATCTATCTATCTATCTATCTATCTATCTATCTATCTATCTATCTATCTATCCCTTCTGCAGCAACGGCCTCTTTAAAGGGCTGCAAGATGGCTGACTGCCAATGACCCAATCACAGCCTGAGAAATAAACAGTCTATAAAGAATGCTGCAAACCCCAAACACAAACATTTCAAATTAAAAGTACATAAATGTAATATGATATGCAAACAAAAGCAAACAAACAAACAAACAAACAAACAAAAACAACACAGTATGAAAGTTTTCAGAATTAAAAAAATATTCAGAAATTA